TATCTCTCTCTCTGTCAAATAAATAAATAAAAATCTATAAAAAGAAACAAGTTCCCTATGGTCCTTAAACATGTTTCCCTAGCATCTGTAGGGATTTATAATATATAATATGCAACTTGAAGGAAAGTTTGCTAAATGAATATGATATGGAATTGAGGTTATAAAAATAAGAGGACTTTTCAAGCTGGAGTTCTGAGAGACAGAAGTGATCAGTTTAGATATATTTGAGAGATTATTTCAATAAATAGCTGTTATATTTCTCATGGAGCATTAAGTACAAAACACTACTTTTTATTCTATTTGGTCATCTTGTTAGTATATCACAGCTGAAAAAAAAATCCAATAATATAAAATATTCTCCCCAGGGTCAGAGAAACTTCGGTTTTCAGCTCTCAGAGCATAAAATATGTTATTTTTCCTCATTCCATGATTTAAGAAAGCAATAAGGACCCCCCTGGATTAGATATTTCTTGTCAGTAAAAGAACAGCTATTCTAAAAATACTGTCTTGGGCCTTTCATCCTTCCAGTAAGTCATTAACTAAGCAACTTCATCTACTGATTATTATTCCCTAAGTGCCTTATGCAATGTGCCTGGTAGTGTGCTAAGAAAATAAGAAATTACTCCTTGATTTGATTTGTCATTTTGATAGCATAGATTTCTAGTCCCATAAGAAACACTAATGAAAATAGAACTACTACTAATTTGTTTTAATGACTGAAAATTTTGAAGAAAATTTGCTAAACATCCTCAATTTTATGTTCATGAACTTTGACGAAGAAGCACATCAATTATATCCTAAGGAAGACTCTTGAGTATTTCTGACTCCCTGTTCTGATTCCCTATCAGTCCCCATTTTTTTTCCTCCTATCTGTGTGATTCAACTACAGTTTCAATGTCTTTAATTGTGGAGAAGTGCTGTCTAATAGAATTTTCTTTGATGACAGAAATATTCTCTATTTGTGCTGTCCAGTAGTGTAGCCACCAGCCACACGGGGCCAATGCATTTTTTGAAATCCAGTTTGAAAAGAATCAACTAGATATGGCAACTGAGAAGTCTTCCTCAACATTTGGCAGAGAAACTCTATGGAGTTAGTGGGGGTAAAAGCATATTGCAGTGGGTTGAGAAGTAAATGGGAGATAAGGAAGTAGAGGCAGTATGCGTACTGGGGATGAGGAGGTAGAGAGTGAATGCAGTGTAGTAGTTGATTAAGCAGAAAACACACATAATGGAGCTCTACTCCAAAAATCTTTGATCTGCCAGTCATGTGAAAAATGAATGGAGCAGGGAGAAAGCTAGAGTTTACATTCAGCTATTATTGGGGGCAGGGGGAAGGATAAGCTGAGATTTTCTAACATTTAGTGAAGGCAAGTCATAACATGAGAATAAATTTCAACTCCCCCGGAAGAATGGACATGTTTATTGTCTTTGATGGCACATCTGTTACCCAAGTGCAAATGAAATGGTTAGTTGTAAGATTTGAAATATTTAATTTTTCTCTGAAAAGCTGGAAAATCCATGATATTACAGAATTAAGGTATTCTGTCATTTCTTTTAATAATAAATGTTATAAGTTCCTACCTAATACTGAGATTAATTTGTCCCAAAAAAGTGCATTCTTGTATTTCTCTATAATTACAGTTGACCCTTGAACAATGCAGGGGTTTAGGGTGCTGACCACCCCCCTCACCCTGGTTGCCCCATGCAGCCAAACATCTGCATATAATTTTTACCTCCCCCAAAATTTAACTACTAATAGCCTACTGTTAACAGGAAGCCTTACTAATACATAAACAGTTGATTAACACATATTTTGTATGTTATGAATATGATATACTGTATTCTTACAATAAAGTAAAATAGAGAAAAGAAAATGTTATTAAGAAAGTCATAGGAAGAGAGAATAGATTTGCAGTACTGTACTGTATTTATTGAAAAAAATCAAGGTTTAAGTGGACCCACACAGTTCAAACCCATGTTGTTCAAGGGTCAACCATACTTCTTAAAGCTAACTTTAGGTTGCAAGTTCTGAAACACTAAAATGTAGTTGCAATGTAAATGTAACTTCAAATTATACAATCTATATTTACATATAAGGATACTAATCAAAAGTTAGAAATGACTGAAATCATAGCATTTTAGAACTTAATGAGTATTCATTGAACTGCATTTTACGGGTGAGGACCATGAGACCTAGAAATAATATATGACTTAGCTAAGTTTACCCAAACAAGATTCGGACCCAGATCTTTAGACTCCAAGCCTGGTGGTGTTTCAAAAAAGAGTGGCTAGATGATGCACCAGGATATTTTTGGTATCTCTATATATTGCAATAAGAGAGAAAATAGAAAATTTCTAACAGCATGCCTCATTGGGGACAGTGAATCCTTTTCTTTACATTTCCACAATTAGTACCATTTCCCCTTGGGCACATTCTCACCATTTGCACTGTGCTTCCCAAATTTTCACTCATTTTTCAAAAGTGTTTGGTAATTATTCCATATGCTATGAAATTTGACCCAAAGAGAAGATGTCTAACTTCCCTACAGTTTTTCAAAAAGGTTCCTCCTACTGAAGGTAAGAGAAGATGGTATATTGGTAGTTTAGAGGAAGAACAGTGGTTTTAAGGATTTAATCCTTCATATCATTTCAGTATTCAAATACTGAAATCAAATTTTCAGGATTACCTATAGATAGTAGGTATCTATAATTACTGAAGCAGAAGACACACTGACAGAAGACAAACGCAGACACACCAAAGAATGTATGTGAGCTAATGTTGTGGGCTGCTAATTTAGCCCATGGAAAACCTGGTAATGGTCTAACACATAGATGGACAAAGTTTTTTGTTTCTTGTTGTGGTTTTTTTTTTCTGTTTTTGTTTTTTAAGATCCTTTTAACTCCTTTTGGAAACCCTTTAAAGACTAAAAGTCAAATACAGAATGGTATGATATATCCTACTCAGGACATACTGGTCCATTTCTGGAAATAATAACGCTTTCTCAAAATGAAGCCATTTATATTCTTAGCCATGCTCTATTGTGTGCACAGAGTAATTTCTTGAGAGCAATGTTTCCTGTGGCATTTTGCCAAGACTGGCTTTATTTGTTTTTCATTAGGCTTTTCATTATCATGCTGCTATATACCTGGATCATTCTGCCTCCTCTGAGAAGGCCAGGGTAGCTTAAGCATAGGAATGATATCATGAGTAGGTGGAATGTTTTTGCCCAGTGAATGCCCATTTTAAATCTCTAGCTATGGTACCATTTTTATGGCTTTAATCTTTCTAAGAACAATCAATTATCCATTTATAATGTATTCTGGTATTAAATTGTTTATATTCGTCTATTCTGTCCCTGTACAGGGAAAAATATTGGTCTCACTTTGTACCATATAGATAGGCCCATCCTCCTTTATTACCTCAGGAAAAGACATCATGATTCACCCCCATTGTCCAAGCCTGGAACTATTGTGTGTTCTGCATTTCTCCATCATTACATGCATTCAGTCACTGAGTCAAACTTCTTGATAGTTTCAAACCCACCCATATCTTTCTATCTCCCATGACCACCACTACCTCAGTCTAAGCCCACATTGTCTCTAGAACAACTGCGGTAGCTCCTAATGGTCTCCATGCTCCCAGGATTGCCCTTTCGAATTCATTCTCTTTTGCTTTAAATATCTGTCAGTACCCATTGCTCTCCATAAATATGTGCTCTGTAATTTCTACTCAGTGTTTTTGTTACACATTAATAAGACAGTTTGATTTGTCCAGAAAAGGAGTGATCTGAATTCTGAACTTCTCTACAGACCCCTCAATTTAAAGAGAAACACTAGCTTACAAGCTACAAAAGACTAAAATTTAGGGACAAAATAAATAATCTATAAATTTCTGTATTAGAATATTAATCAGAGGCCTAAAAAATCATTGAAATCAAAGAATTTCAGGACTAGACTGGTCCTTGGAGATCGTGTGGCTCAACTTTGTCATGTTATAGGTAAGGAAACTGAGGCCCAGCCACTAAATTGATCTTTATAAATTTAGAATCTCATATGTAACTCCTGTTTTTACCATCTATCCATGGCTCCCCGTTATGGTCAGGATGAAGTCTGAATTCCTCAGCCTGGCATACAATGTGCGTATAGTCTGGCTTCGGCTTACCTTGCCAGCCTTACCTTTTGTTCCTCTCTCCAACTCATCCAAGAACCCAGTGCTTCCGAATATGCTATGTTCTTTCTCACCCACAGGACACTGTACATAATTTTTCTTGTGTCCTCCCTCTGTTGAGTGCTGAGTCCTAACCATGCTTCAGATATCCGATCAGACATCATCTCTGCTGAAAACACCCCCCAGATCCCCTTGGGGTTCCCAAGCATGTGTCACCATCATAGCATATTCACAGCATTCTACCTGCCTTTGAAAATCTGTTTCCATCCCTGGACTAGAATGAATAAAGACAGTTATGGGCAGGGACCTGCAAATTATTCATTGCTATATCCCCATTATCTTGATCAGATGTCTGGCATTCAGTATTTTAAGATTAATTATTAATTCCCAATTTTAACTAGCCTAGTATATTTCAATTTTTTAATCAGTCCTCCTCTCACAATCTGTTTTCAAGGGAAGAAAAAACTGATTCATTCATGTCAACGTATAGGTAAATCACTGAAGATCCTAAAGGGCAACTCTTCTCAGAAGCATTTACATTTTTAGGGGAACAGAGTTTTAGGTCACAGGAACGAATCCCCAATGCAGATAACCCAACCATAAATAGTGAGCCATAAGAGCATTTCTGAGAGGAAGGAAGCTTTCCCAGAACCTTCAACTCAGTCACATAGGTGACCTCCTACTTGCCCTCACCCTCATAGAAGAATGACTCTGTTTTTGTTTGTAAAAATCAGCTCACTTGTTGGTTATTTTTCTCTGCATTAAATAAATCATTATTTACCCATAGTAAAAATACCTAATTTAACTTGTAACATTTCTGGGTTTGTTTCAGGGAAGCAATGTTATGGAAGATCAGGATTTGTTGGAAATTGGAATCCTTAATTCTGGGCACAGACAAAGAATTCTACAGGCAATCCAGCTTCTTCCAAAGGTAAGCAATGCTTTCCTAGCCTGGCCCTATGTACAGCAGTCTTCAGTCCAGATGTGAAAGGGCTGTTAGTACTTAGGACACCATCTCTACATATTGTTTAAACTCCCCAAAGCAGTTCTTCTTAGGTCCAATGAAATGTTCAGACTCACAAGACTACTGTGGGCCAAACTTGGCTTTAGGTGGATGAGAAGGATGTCATACAGGAAACACCACTGACCAGCAGGGCGCCTTCAGGGGTTCCCTTCAGTGTGAGTCCTTATATTGGTACAAACATCAGTCCACGCCCCTCAGGTGAGAGCTCAGGTACAAGAAGACAAGATCAATATTGGGTGGGTGTGGGAATGTTCCTGAATTAGAAGCCTCATGCCCCCTGAGAGGCATTATCTCTTGTACAACTCCATAGACTTAGGAATCTGCCTAATTACAAGAGTTATCACTCAAGGAAGACCAAAGTATCACATCCCCATCAGGTATTTATAGTTAATGTATAAATCCTCCCAGTCTAGATGCAGTTTGCCAACCAACGTGTCCTTTTAACTGTAAGCACTATGTTACCTAGCAACAGAGTTGATCTTCTGTTTCCAGATAAGATTTCATAGGAGCCTAAAGCAAGAGGTAGGATCTGAGCACTGGTCTTCAAGATAATGTAGGACTTTAACTGATAAGGAAAAGGAAAGCATTTCAGGGATCAGCAGAAATCATATAAATATAAATATAGATTGCCGAAAGTATTAGGGGAATAGTGATACTGTGTGATTTAAAATGCAATGAGATTTGCCCAACAATGTGAATGTCCTTAATCATTGCCACTAAATTATACACTTAAAAATGGTTAAGGTAGTAAATTTTATGTTTTGTTATTTTGTCACAGTTTTTTAAATAATTTTTTAAAAAAAGAAAAAAAAATCCAGTGTGATTAAACAATTAGAGAGTATAGTCAGAGATAAAGCAGAAAAAGTAGGTTGGGTTGGTCTATGTCAGGCTAAGGAATTTGAAATTTGTTCTATAGGCTCTGGGGAACAGACATGACTGGACTGCTTTAGGCCAGTCAATTTTGGAGGCAGTATACAATAGGCATGAGAAGGAGGGAAAGTTGAAGTAGGGTCAACCAGCTGGGAAAAGATTCAGTGGGCAAGACTGAAAGCAGATGAACAGTTAGACTTGCACCTAAATGTATGAACTTACCATATATTTTGTATTCTCCTCTGCTCTTTTCCTTTCTAATGAGGCTATAATTTCTCCTTAGAACGAGAAAGATAAATATTAACCACTATTTCTAAGGAAGTGATCTGATGAAATTTGCCAACTGACAGTGAACTGAGTGTCTGCTGATAGAAGCTTAACACTTTTGCAAATTCAAGGAGAGTTACGCATACAAAGGAGTTTGATCATACAATTTTCTACAGTAAAAGGAAAAGAATAAAGTGGCCTTAGAACTAATTCCAGAAGTAATTCTTATACGCGTATTGTTCACCTCACTACTTTTGTATCTTAAAATATTATTTCCTCAGCAAGTTTGCTCCTCGTTGTCTGCAAGGACTTCTACACTGCTGTACCCCCAACACCGAGCTCAGTGTGCAGCCCATGGTAGACACTCAATAAATCAATAAGTGACTACCCCCGTGTCACAAGCCTGCCTGTCAAGTTCAGCTCAAATAGTTCCATATCACTTCCTTTATGAAACTTCCCCTAAATGGAACCACTTCTCTCACCTTGGTAATTATCACCCTAGTCCAAACCAACCACCATTAACTGGACTGCCACAATAGGTTCTACTATCATCTCTAGGTTAGACTACTGGAGTCAATTTCTCATTGGTTCTCTCTAGCTTGGATAATTCATAGATGCCTAATCTCTGTCCTAGTTACCTTTCTTATCACTCTACATTTGAATTTCACACAGCATCCAGAATGATCCTTCTCAAATGTAAATCAGATCACGCACACTCTGTTCAAAATCTCCAATGGAGGGTGCCTGGGTGGCTCAGATGGTTGGGCATCTGCCTTCAGTTCAGGTTATGATCCCGGGGTCCTGGAATTGAGACCCGCATTCGGGCTCCCTGCTCAGCGGGGAGCCTGCTTCTCCCTCTGCCTCTCTCTCTCCATCTCTCATGAATAAATAAATAAATAATCTTAAAGAAAATAAAAATAAAATAAAATAAAATCTCCAATGGATTCCCTTCTCACTTAGAATAAAATCTTTATCACAGCCTACAGAAGTCAATAGGCTCTGGCCCCTTCCCACCTTCATGGCCTCATCTCTCACTCTCCCATTTTCCTCAACTCTAGTTATATGGTTTCTTTTTGTTCCAGAATATACCAAGCTCATTTTTGCCTCAAGGTCTTTCCATACTGGTCTCTTTGCCTAGAAAGTCTTTTATTCAAATTTTCATACCCTTGTTCCTATACATCATCAAATCTCTACTCAGCTGCTGTCTCCTCATCCAGGCCTTGGTGACCTCAAAGTCACACGCACATACTATCACTGTCCTTCATATTGCCCCACTTTAGTTTCTCCGTGGCACTTATGGCTACCTGAAGTTAGATTATTTATGTGTTTGTTTTTTCCTTATTTTTCACCTCTCCCCCAAGATGCAGGGTCCATAAGTTCAGGGACCTTGACTATCTTGTTCCTTCCTATATACCCAGCCCCTACAGCAGTGCCAGTCACATCATAGGTGGTCAAAAATGTTTGTAGAAGGCAATAATACACTGCTGTCTCTTTCCTCTGAGATTTGATAGCTCTGCCTATTCTGAAGGTACTAATAATGCTCTACCACTCTTGCCTTAGAAACATCCTGAAGGCAGAGACAGTGTCACATCCATCCTTGAATTTCCCAATGTGCTTAGCTCAATACATGCACATTTAAAGAATAAAAGAATGAGCAACTGAATGAATATTTTCCTCTCGTTATTCAAATTTACATTTTTTTTCAAATCGAAGAGTGCCTCAATCTTAAGATATATCCGTAATTGTGTATATGCCATTTGATAACGAGAACAAAAGAACCTGAACTCGGAATTATTTGGAGAACAAATGGAGTGTTTATTTTTAAGACAGAATATCATTCCCATTAGAGAAAACAATATAACAGAAACAATACAAAATTAAGCTTTTATCAAGAGGCTGATGCGAAAGTGCTTACTATGCACCCAAATGAGTAGAGAATATGTAAAAACATCCAAACACGTGTTCATCAGCACAAACAGAATGTTATAATGCTACAAATTGATGCTTTGCCTTCTTAGGTAATGAGCCCAATCTTCAGATGGTTAATAGTGTAATTTTACTGCCAGCACATTCATTTGCATTCACTCTAACTTTGCAGTGCCGCAAAAGGGACACCGTGTCTCTTTGTTTTGTTTATGCAATTTTAGTCTTCAAAATATCTGTGTTCTTCATCTGTCATGAAAAATATTCCATGATTGCTACCTGAAATCCTTTAATTAACATATTGTGTTTTGGAATTCCTGAGATTGTTCCTAAACAGAGAAAAGGTGGTTTGCTAAATGCAATCTTGATCTGTTAGCACACTTCAAAGCATGTTTTTCATGCTTTATTTGTATTTGTTGTTTCAAGTTTCAAAGACAAAAGTTTATTCCTTTGGTAAGAATAGTTCTTCTGTAATATGCCCTTTATAATATTGAAATATTCACCAATGCAAAGGTCTGTATGTTCTCAAGTACATTTGATACATCAAACTCGTGGAATGTATTGTATTTTTTTATACTTTTTTATTGTTATGTTAATCACCATACATTACATCATTAGTTTTTGATGTAGTGTTCCATGATTCATTGTTTGTGCATAACACCCAGTGCTCCATGCAGAACGTGCCCTCTTTAATACCCATCACCAGGCTATCCATCCTCCTACCCCCCTCTCCTCTAGAACCCTCAGTTTGTTTTTAAGAGTCCATCGTCTCTCATGGTTCGCCTCCCCCTCCGATTCCCCCCTTCATTCTTCCCCTCCTGCTATCTTTTTTTTTTCTTAACATATATTGCATTATTTGTTTCAGAGGTACAGATCTGTGATTCAACAGTCTTGCACAATTCACAGCACTCACCATAGCATATACCTTCCCCAGTGTCTATCATCCAGCCACCTCCTCCCTCCCACCCCACCTCCCACTCCAGCAACCCTCATTTTGTTTCCTGAGATTAAGAATTCCTCATATCAGTGAGGTCATATGATACATGTCTTTCTCTGATTGACTTATTTCGCTCAGCATGATACCCTCCAGTTCCATCCACGTCGTTGCAAATGGCAAGATCTCATTCCTTTTGATGGCTGCATAATATTCCATTGTATATATATACCACCTCTTCTTTATCCATTCATCTGTCGATGGACATCTTGGCTCTTTCCACAGTTTAGCTATTGTGGACATTGCTGCTATAAACATCAGGGTGCACGTACCCTTTCGGATCCCTACATTTATATCTTTGGGGTAAATACCCAGTAGTGCAATTGCTGGATCGTATGGTAGCTCTATTTTCAACTTTTTCAGGAACCTCCATACTGTTTTCCAGAGTGGCCGCACCAGCTTGCATTCCCACCAACAGTGTAGGAGGGTTCCCCTTTCTCCACATCCTCGCCAACATCTGTCATTTCCTGACTTGTTAATTTTAGCCATTCTGACTGGTGTGAGGTGGTATCTCATTGAGGTTTTGATTTGGATTTCCCTGATGCCATGCGATGTTGAGCACTTTTTCATGTGTCTGTTGGCCATTTGTATGTCTTCTTTGGAAAAACGTCTGTTCATGTCTTCTGCCCATTTCTTGATTGGATTATTTGTTCTTTGGGTGTTGAGTTTGATAAGTTCTTTATAGATTTTGGATACTAGCCCTTTATCTGATACGTCATTTGCAAATATCTTCTCCCATTCTGTCGGTTGTCTTTTGGTTTTGTTGACTGTTTCTTTTGCTGTGCAAAAGCTTTTTATCTTGATGAAGTCCCAATAATTCATTTTTGCCCTTCCTTCCCTTACCTCTGGCGAT